ACCAGGGAATATTCTGTTCAGGTGATGATACACAGGGACAACATATATAGGGCAAAGTTAATGTCCATTACTGTAAAAATGAGAATAAGAGAAAAAGAGACAACATAGTAGTGAAACTCCAGAGAACGGCTCTTTACGAAGGCTCTGGGGTTTTGGGGGAAGGATAAAAGGGACTTTTAGAAAGCACTAGAGTTACTTGTTGTCCCTCAGTTGTTGTTCTATTGGTGGTTCAGGAGGTTTTAACATGTTTTCGAGGTAGTTTTGTTGGTGTTGGAAGGTGTCTTTGGTTTCTTTGGGGAGGAATAATAAGGTTCCAGGTTATATCAGGAGTTCCATGGGTATTCGCAGTGGCTTTAGACGGCTTTGAGTATGTTTGAGAGTTTCTATACATGTTTGAGGACGGTCAAGGTGTCCTTCCAAAGGGTCTAGGTTTCCTTCAAGAAGTTCTAGGAGTACTATATGTCTTTAATGTGGTCCTACATATATTCGAAGAGGTTCTGGGGGTGTTTGAGGAGGCAATAGGTTTCTTTGAAGAAGTTCCAGGATAGCCTCAAGAGGGCCTGGTGGGGTTCTTGATAAGGTTCCCTGTGTGTTTGGGGAGATCCTGGGATTGAGGATGTACTGTAGTGTTTCTGTGTCACAGTGAAAGAAGAGCTGTAGGAGTGAAAATGGGAGAAATGACAGATAGTGCTGCCAGCAGTGAAATCTTGGCCCCTGTCTCATAGTGAGAAGGTGGTAATGATCTGATGTGAGATCTGAAGTCTCGCAGTGTCCTCCATTTTGGCAGGTTTCGGTGTTTACATGTGTGGACTTGAACCCAGTTCAACAGAGTGGTTCACGTGTGACTGGCAGTCCTGCTGTCTTTGTAGTGGCAGAGCTCTAAAAACTGACACCCCGAGGGTCTCGGGAGCCGGGGGACGTTAGTATTGGGGGACTGCGGGGCCACGCCTTCCAGCCGCCATATGCTTGAGATAACAAGTCAAACATGGGACTCTTTTCTTGGCTCATTAAAATGTTCGACATTTGGCAGAAGACAGCTGCGTTTTCCTGACCTATTTTTTAATATCGAGGCTTTTGAATGAGCGTTTGTATCGTAGATCCACACTGTGCTGCTGACAGTGCATTATCGACAGATACTGACATACATCTGTGATTGATGATTTGTGATTCATTCCTCTGTGATCAGTTTACTGTTACTCCTGTGTGTGTGTGTGTTTGTGTGTGTGTGTGTGTGTGTGTGTGTGTGTGTTTACGAGATTCTGGTGGTAGCTTTATAAAGACAAAAAAGTTGCTGTGCAGCAGAGGTTGAGTCTTTAGTCTGAGTCAAAACACAGGATGCTACATTGCCCATAATACCAGATGTGTTCGGGGTCCTGCATTCACAGATGATGTAACACATTAACAGGTTATGATTGGCTGTACTTCCCAATCGTACATCGCTCGATTGTTACCGAGCACATCTTTCAACAAATACGCAAAGAATGTTTAATAAAGAATGTTACTGATTAGGACTTTATCGTCTTCTGGTTGTAGTCTGATGAGGTTGTGATATGAGTTCATATTATGGTCACCTATATGTGCATCACATCTATGAGCATGTGTAAGATAGAACAAACACTACAGCACAGACAAGCACAGCTTCCAGATAACTCACCTTAAGGTTTGCAGATTGGGGTCAAACTTTTTAGTGAAGTTATTAAGCGTTATCTTAGCTAAAGCTGAGTCATCTTGTTTCCTTCTCATGTCTGTGTCCCATGAGTCTCTGCTCAGTAAACACAGCCTTGGAAATGTGCTACTTATTTCTATTTATTGAACTTATTCCTTTAATTTCTACACTCTGTCTTCTAATAGTTTCTACCCTGGAATAATGTAAAGAGCTTCTCGCTGCCATCCACCAGCCCTCTCTTCAAAATCAATAAAAACTTAAATGTAGAACAAACAGAAACAAACATGACTGAATGGAAGTAAGAGTCTATCTGTCTGTCTGTATTATTATTATTATTATTATTAATAATAATAACACCTCCTCCTCTCATTGTCCCAGCGGAGCAGCATCTCCTTTTATTACCCTGCAGGGTCATTTACAACCCCGTCCCGTCTATTCATTGGTTGAGGAGATAATCCTGTGATAAATCCTCCGTCGTGCCCTTCACAGTTGTCATAGCAAGACCATAAACAGCATTTATAACAATCTGGGGGGGGGGGGGCGCTCTGCTTAGCATGCAGAACAGATTAAGATGGGACAGGTCTGCTTAGAGCCGCCGCTCCATCCGTGACAGACAGACGGACTCATGGGAAATGTTCCATCGCCGGCCCGTTTATTCTCAGTGGGAAATGAGCTGCAGTGACGGCTCACTCGCTGGAAAACACAAATGTCCTTTTTAGGAATAAAAAAATGTTCCCCAGGGACCCTACAATTTTAGTAAATATATATTTTATAAATATAAAATAAATATATACTGTATATATATATATATATATTTATTTTTTTTTTTTTTTTTTTTTGACCAGACATAGTAAGTTTTTAATAGTGTCTCACATCTATTAGATTTCTTCCATTGTTTTCTTAATAGAAAACCATTAATTTATTAGATTTACGCATATAATTTAATTTCAAGGAATTAATTGCACTTTACTAATAAGGATTAGGCAATAGCTTTATAGCCTGTTTTATATGATTCCTGTCTTCATTTAGAGGTTTTAGCTGAGTCACTGTGTTAGACAGGTTGTTTTATTTAAGAATAAATTGGTGGTGCTATTAGATTTTTTGCAGTTGTTCTACATGTTTTAGGATTTTTATGCAATTTAAAATTTGTTTTCAAATAAAAGGACAATGTTGATGAGACAATAAATCTTATAATGTCAAATATATTTAGTTCAACATGTAAACAGTTCATATTAATGGATTTTAACCATTTTAACTATTATTCTTTGTCCTACTTTGTACATTTGGCACTACAGTTCCCATGATGCTTTGGGGGATGTAAACAGGAAGTATAATTTTGCCACAGTGGCCCTTTGCTTCAAAATGTGTCTCTGTAGGCATCTGTGGTCAGTTAGCAACAATAAACATGTAACGTCCAGATAGAGTTTCAAAATAAAGCTTCAGTGGTCAACGTTGTAAAACAGCAGCAGTTTAGTGAAGTTTAGGCACACAAATTACTTGGTAATGTAGGAAAAGATCATAAAGTACATTACGTAACATCAACAGCACACTGCTGGGTTAAAGTCCTGTGTTTGTTGGAATCATCCATAATGTCGCTCTTAGCCGCGGGCTACAACTTAAGCCTATACTTGGTTACATTTTGACAAATAGTTTCCATTTACAGTGTGCCGAATGATCTGTTATCAGCTCCTGTTTGCAGAGTGCACATGGACGTAGAGGCAACTATCACTGGAACAGTGAAGAAAACTTAAGAACGTAAAGATTCTCAGGTTCTGCAGCTGTAAGGAGCGTCGTCTGTATGGACGTTTATTCCTGATGTGTGTTCAGAAGAAAGAGTGACGAGGGTCAGAAATTGTTGAGTTATCTCTTTTATTATTTTATCTCGAATTCATTTGATTTCGTAATAAATCAAAATATTGATACAAGTTGGATTTTTCACAGTGCCAAATCAATAACATAATACAGTGTATTTATTTATATTCTGTTTATTTCAGCTTTACAACCCCCCCCCACACACACACACACACACACCAAAGATTTTGATGATTTGGGCTGCCGGCGCAGTGTGACAGCGTTTACCCGGCAGCGTCTGGGCTAAACACCGCCGGAGGACTCTTCACAGGTACACTATTAATCTTAATTAAAGCCGAGTGTGACAAACAGCACACACACACAGTCCTCCCCCTCCCATTGTCCCGCCTTCAGTCTGATGTGTCCTGGTTAAATAAAAGAATAAATTAAATCCCAGTGAGTTAATGAAGCTCTGAGAGACGCCGCATAACGTTTGTTACAGAAATGCCAACAGACGGACGACACAAACCACACATCAGCAGGTCCGAAATAAACATTACGGAGACGGAAAAACACATTTAAAGCATCAAATAATGAATGAAGGATATCCACACATCCAGGTCCAAACGTCCTGCGGTGGGAAAACAGATTTACAGCCACGAGGAGCCGAATTTGTACTTTTTACTCATGCCAAAGAGGTTTCTAACTCCAAAAATACCAAAGGAGAGGTGAACAAATTAGCCAAAATTAACAATATTACGTTAATAATAAGGATGAGACACTGACAGATGCTGCACCAACCCCCCCGCGCCCCCAGAGCACGGCCAGAGGCATCACATAGAATTGTTGGCGATGAAGGTTGTGAAGAAGTTGTGTACGTTAAAAGATGATTTGTTGTTTGTGCAACGCGGCCGGACAGGAAATAAACTCATAAATAACTTCTTATAACCCAACACAGATCATCATAATCATCATACAAAGAATATAAATAAATAAATTAAATAAATAGGAAATAAAAATCAGAGTGGAGTTGAGGAGAGAGACGACAACCACCAATCTGGAACGCTGGGTAGCTGCCAGATGACCCTTCATAAGCCCCACCTCTTTTTGCCGTATGGTCCAATAACAGTTGAGCAAGTCTTGGTAAGACTCCCAATCAACTTCTTCCTTTCGGTGAGTGGTTGCTTTGGACTTCTTGAGTTAACTTCAAGGTTTTATTAAGTAGAACGAACACTGCAACATTATTGAACATGAACCTATAATAATACTACTGATATTACTTTGTTAGATTAACTTAATTTTCTTGGTAACTCACTTGCATGTGATATTGAACTTAATTAAAATGAGTACAAAGAAGTATAAGTAAGTATAAAGAAGTTTGATGAACCTAATTTTCTTAGTAAAATGAATCTAATCACACATCTGAATCAACTCCATTAAACTGATTCCAGGCTTCAACCTGCAGTGAATAAATCAGGCTGCATCAATTTGTCTAAACTCTGAAATCTTCAGATCCTCGCTTTATTGTACTAGTATTACACTATTCAATTCAATTCAATTCAATTCAGTTTTATTTGTATAGCGCCAATTCATAACAGAAGTTATCTCAGGACACTTTTCAAATAGAGCAGGTCTAGACCGAACTCTTTATAACATTATTTACAGAGACCCAACAGTACCACCATGAGCAAGCACTTGGCGACAAGGGCAAGGAAAAACTGCCTGTTAAAAGGCAGAAACCTAGGACAGATCCTTCGGCTCTAGGTGGGTGGTCGTCTGCCTCGACCACTAACAATCTTGGATATTTTTCTGGATCCAGTTCTCCCCCAGTTGCAGCGCTGACGATGAACTAACTGGAGACGTACCTGCTGTCATTCATCCAGCAGTGAGTCGTGCAGCCCTGCTGACTGTCTGCTGACTGTCTGCTGACTGCTCCGTAAAGAAAACAAAGGACAAAAAAACAATTAAGTCCAGTAATAAAAGCCCGAGTACCATAACATGCTACATTAAATATCTACTGAGCTCCATAAATTAACAGCCAGCAGCTTCTCAAGCAGTTTGTCTCATTGATGTTGTTTACTGGAGGAAAAAACTTGACTCTCCTGCAGCACTTTGGACTTTACTGACCACAAACACTGTATGGAAGCACGCTGAGGCCAAAATTCCATAAATACAGAGGAATAAAGAAAGGTCAACATTTTGATTTAATGAGCGCCAATAATGTCTCCTGATTGTGATTAATTACATATAAAGACCAATTTTCTCTTATTTCTGTAGATACAGTTCAGTAAATTTGACACGTTTATGAAGTCAAATTATTTATATTAGTATTTAAAATAATCCTCTAATTGTTCACAATCCTGTATAATTGTTCAATTACCTTTATCTATAAATCACAGCTAATGTGAGTGTTAATGCTTATTTTTGACCTTGTAAACTACTAATTTATGTAATAAAGGGCAGTTACAAACATTCTGTTTGTGGTCGTAGAATCTGGAGGATTTGTTGGGTTTGGGGATGAAGGTCTATATATCTGATTAAAGCAGTGCTTCCAGAAGCTTTATTCATGTCAAGAACGCTCAATTTGAGAAGATTTTGTAAAGGAATTCCCCTCTTTTTAAGTTTGAAGATAATAAAGTCTTCACAGCCAATCAATAGGATCGCTATAAATGAATCAGTCAAAATTGCCGACCTATTCCTTCTGCCAAACAAAGTGATAAACGTTAAAATATTATATTTCTCCTTTTGTTAGGGACCAACAACCCACTCAGGGAGTTTGATAACCTCTGGATTAAAGCACACAGATGAACTGTAACTGTTGGTGTCTGCAGACGCTCTTTCACATTAAGAGTCTGGTTGTGATGGAGGTGTTGAAGCTCTTTGATAGTAAAAATGTGTTTGTATTTGTTTTTCGGGTCCCAGGAGGATGAAGATGAGAAGGAAGGAGGTGTGTGTTGTTTTTGTTTGTGTTGATGGTTTGTGACTCTTCCTCCTCTTCCTCCCCCTCCTCCCCCTGGGGGTGATGGAGGCAGCCGACTGTGGAGGGACAAACACTGAGGCTTTAAATCTGATTCATCTTCATTGTCATAGGAGGTCTTTATTTTATCAACAAACACACACACACACACACACACACACACACACTGACATCATATTTTCCCAAAAGAAGAAATAAAAAATCAACCAATCAGACAAGGTTATATCAGGATAATTTAACCATCCAACAGGTTTATGTTTTTACCACCAGAACTGTCAGCCTGTAGAAAGTATTTCAATATTTCTACTTTTACAGTATCATGAAAACTCGTATTAATGCAGTATAAAAAACTCAGCTTGGGAGTTGTAGTTGTCTCCTGTCCTTCACTTTTATGTCCACTGGCATCTTTTCATAAACTGTTCTCTACCAATGAAAACAGCTCTAATGAAACCAGCCTCCATATTAAACTGAAAGATTATTGTTCTCTGATTGACGTCTGCTCGTTGCTGTTGTTTGTTTCGTTGTGTAAATCCGTCGCTCTCAGTCCTCCCGAACAGTAAACAGCCTCAACTGTGTTTGATTTCATGAATTATTAGACTCAGCCGGGACTCAGACTGTCGCTGGAGTGAGGACGTTGTTGTTTACCCTTCGTCGTCTGTAAAACGCCGCAAGACACTACAGGTGTCAGGTACCTGCCAGTCTGCACTCAGGGCCGCACTCATCCCACTACATCGGTTCGGTTTCCCTCCTGAAGAGAACAAACTGATCTGCCTCCAAAATCCCTCTCTTCCCCTTCGTCCCTCTTTTCTCTTTAAAACCAGAGAAAGAGAGGACAGAATAATTAAAGGTGGAAAGAAGAATGGAAGTAAAACAGGAAAGGATGAGGAGGAGACCAGAAAGGAGAAAGGGCCGAGGAAAGGGAGGAAGGACAAGAGGAAGCAAAGAGAAGAGGAGAGGAGAAAGGAAATAAAAATGGTGGCATGAAGTAGGGAAGCAAAGGTGGATGTAGAAAAAGGAAAGAAGGATGAAAATGAGGAGGAGGAGGAGGACAAGAAGAGTGGATAGGAAGAAAGAAAAGTGGGGAAGGACAGAAAGAAGGAAACAAGGAAGGAGGGAAGGATGGACAGAAGGAGGGAAGGATGCAGGGAGGAGAAGGAGAAAGGTTCAGATGTAGATATCAGAAGAAGGGAGAGAGAAGGAAGGAAGGAAGGAGGGGAGGAGGAGGAGGAGGAGAGTCCAGGGAGACTCTGCATCCAATCAGCATCCCTCCTCGGGCGTTAACGAGCTTAACGAGCCGCTCCGCCCGGCTTCAAACGGCGAGGGGAGGGAGACTCATTAATTCTGCAGATGTGTCTAATCGGCATCCAGCTCCACCTGTTCGCAGGAATAAACGCCAACCTGAAACCGGAGCGCGGCCAGGAAGTCAACTACAACTCCCAGAGAGCCCTGCTGTAAGAAACGTCCAATCAGAGCGCTTGTCAGGTGTAGCTAATGGCTGACGCTTCATACGGCTCATCCAGAGATAGAGGACGCAGAGACAGGAGATAAAGAGCTCTCGATATGTGATTGTGATTAAATAAGCAGATATTTCTGAAACCTTCCGGACCCCCCAAGGAATATTTCCCTAGATCCGCCCCTGCAGCGTGAGCACCGTGGCCGACCAGTGTAATCACAGCAATGGCGTTGATAAATGTTTCTGGTCTTTGTGAGAAGGGTGTTGTGGGTAACTGTAGATCACAGCAACACTTTTACTTTTCTTATTTCCTGTTTTTTATTTTAGATTAACTAATTTCAGCCTTTACATATCAGGATAATAATAAGTCATTTTAACATAAATATACCAGCATTCATCAACTGTCCCTCCATACACACTGCATACACACACTTATACACAGAAATGGTAAAAAATAAATAAATAAAACAGATATTAGTCAGATATTGAGGAACAATATCCCCCCACCTGCTCCTGTGTCAGTTCAACCTGGTTGTTTAGTCCCTGTTTACCTGCCTGTAAGTTACATACATTAAACCATCCTGCTGCCTGTGGAGTAACAGACTCTCCCTCCCACAGGAGCTCTGTTCATTCATTCATTCATTCAATGAACAACAAATGTAAATGTAATCTTTAATAACAGGCTGTATGAGTGTAAATGTACTTTGATCAAGCGTTCCCATCATGCCCTGGGTCTTGCAGTCAGCAGAGAGCAACTGCAGCGTCTGGCTCTAAAAACTGCAACCGCCTCGATCTCGTGAGGTTATCGTTGCCCACGAGTGCACGACGTCAGAGCGAGTCAGACACAGATCTACAGATCACTGTGCGGAGATCGATGGTAACCAATGTCCGAAGTTCTGGATCATCTGGAACAGGAAGGACAAACACTAAAATACTGTACAGAATACCCAAAAATACCTAAATCTGTTGGACAGATCCTGGAGGGCAGGAGTCCTATAGAGCAAGACAGATGTGATAAAAACACTTAAACATCAGTTTCGACTTCATGTGGACTTTATAGTAACTGAATAGCTTCAAATCACTCAGGGCTCATTTAATGCTTTAATAACACATTAATAACCCATTAATAACCCTGTAAACCTGCACAACATGCCCCAAATTCCCTTAATTCCTGGAGCCTGCGTGTATCGACCCATAAAACCCCCTGATAGACTCTTAACACTCACTGCTGTGACAACTTAATGAAGAATTCATCTGGAGTTAATGAAGAAATTACAGACATTTAAAGTATAAAATAAGATGTTTTGGTTCATCTGGGGGCCATGAGGGGGATGAAGGGAGTCCTGTCAGAATAAGAGCACAGATGAGGAGGATGGAAAAGGAAAAAAAACTGCACATTACACAGGAAACAGTGCGAGTTGAGAGTGTGAACTCAGTTTGTCTCAGATCCAAAACAGCAGCCAGCATGGTGCCAATTAGCACGGCGCGCGCTAACACACGCCCTCCTGTAGTTTCTGATTAAAGTGCATATTGATGGTATAAATTATCTCCTGCTACAATAGATAGCCGGGCATCTATATGTAAATGTTTAATTAACCCGTGGCTGAATCGCCGCACCGGTCCACAGTGGAGGTTATTAATCTGATGATGGCGGCCATAACGCCGGGCCGATGCCGCCAAAATGAGCCGTCTGGATGCGGCGGCAGATTCATCAGAGACGCCACCTCATTTCCTAAAGTGCTGTTTGTTCTCAGTGATGAAGTCAGCACCACATCCCTCTTTAAGGTGGACTCAAATCTGTTTAATGGTTGCTCTGGCTGGATCTCACACCCACAGGACTTCACCCAGGATCTACTGCACGAGGATATATCCACAGGGTATAACTCTGAATCACTGCTCACCAACATCTGGAAACATTCAGTCGACAGAGTTTAAACCCTTAATGGTTGGGTGTGTTTAACAAGACAGGAGATAGGAAAATGTAATGTATGTAATGTATGCCACTAGGGGGTCTCTCACATCAAAACCATAAGAGAAGATGAAGTTTGCTGAGGTGGTGAAGCAGCGTGGGATCATGGGAGTTGTTGTCTTCACCACCATTGCCGTCATTGCAGTCAGCTCGTGATTGACAGCTCAAACTGTCAAACAGTACTGATCAGATATGGATCCAGATCCTGATGTTGACTATTTCTCTCCTCACATCTGTTCACAAACACATTTTACTGTTTATCTGGAATACCAGATCCTGTGTGAGCAGGCGAGCCGCCATTGTTTCCAAACCAAGAGCAGCCAATGAGAGCAGAGCAACTC